GCGGCCTCTCAGGAGCCACCACCTCATTCTAAGGTGGTGCCCAGCTTGGAGCCATGATGCTCCCAGGGCCCCCGCCCTTTGGCCACGGCCCAGGCCCTGCCCACTTGGGTCAGGTCTGTTGAGGCTCCTTAAGCTCACTGAAGATGGGGACAATCTGGAGATGAGGACTACCTGGAGGTGGGACCTGAGAAGATTTTCAAAATTGGGGAAAGAGCTTCCACAATGGCAATGGGATGCAACAGGTCTCTTCCTAGGAAGGGAAACATTGTGAGGAGTAAGAAATGAAGCTGGTGAGATGGTAAGTAGGAATAAGAGGTGAAGAAGAAAAATTCATCAGATTCTAAAGTCCAGGAGGAAAAGCATTTGTCATAGATGGCTGAGGTATTCATCTTCTGAGGGGCAGAAGGGGGACTAGAAGAGTCTTTCAAGCCTCTGCCAGATTTAGGTTTCTCTGGTTGGACTTGAGAATTTCTATTCTTAATTCTTTGATTTGGTTATAGGATTCTCCTAGATAGTCTGAAGTTAACATCCTGCACATTCACTGAGATCCTAGGACTACCCCAAAGCAGGCTTGAACCAGCTCTAAGGGGCCCAGGCTGTACGCTGCCAGTTTTCCCTGGAGCTCAGCCCAGGTGCCCTATGGTGGATCCCCCTTGTCATGGAAGTAGCTCCCAGGCAGAGGCCCAGGCACCTGAAAGACTGAGCCTTGGGGCACTGGTGTGTGTATCCTGCCCCATCTCTCAGGTTCAGGGGTGGCCGCCACTTCCGGCTCTACTCTCCCCATCCCAGCTGTGTCTCTAAGGCTGCAGTGGTGGTGGATGGGGGAGGGGGAGAGTTGTGAATCTTCACACGGGCTCTGTCACCCTCATCTACACCCTGCACAGCACGAGGCCCAGCTGGCCTGCCATTGGCTGCCACTCCTGGACAAGTGGGGCCACTTCCCCTTGTTCTCTGGCTGGTGGGGGTGGGAAGCAGAGACTGTTCTACAGATGCTGCTAGGCCCCAAACCACAGGGGCACTGAGCTGGAGGAAAGAGTCTGAGAAAGAGCTGACACTTTGACGCTGGGACTCTGTGCCACTTCAGGTGGAGGTGCCCAGAAGTACACAGAAGCCAGGAGTCCCTTTCTTCTTTCCAGGCTTCAATTACCCAGATTTTTTTTCTTGGCAAGCAGATGGGTCTCTGAGATTTCCCCCAGGCCTCTCCCAAAAGAAGCAAGGTTCATGTAGCACTCTTAGGTCCACATCCTTTAGCGGGGGAGTCCAGGCAAACCCCACCCAACCCTGCCAGAGCCTTGCCAGCCTCCAGGGCTGGGATGAGCTTGCCTCCACACACTCTTCCTAACCCTAGAGCATGGATGTGCCTTAGCAAAGCCAAGCTTCTGGAAAGTAGAGACAGCACCTTCCCCAGGCCCAGAGGCCGCACCTGGCTCCATCACTGCTAGTCCCTTTCCCCTGGACTCTGGGGTGATGTGGTGGAGGGAAAGCGCAAAGGCAGGGGAGGCCTCTCTCTCCTGTCTCTGTTCCTCCTGCTGGGCCCTGCCTATAGAGGATGTACCAGGCAGGGGCAAGAAAACCAAGTTGGAATCCTCCCATGTTCTAGCTGTAGGACTTTAGACAGTTCTTTGATTTTCTTTGGGTCTATATCTTCATCTTGGAAAAGGGGGGTAACCCCTGAGCTGACCCTCTCAGGAGGCTGTACAGATGGATAGCCTGAAACTATAGATGTGAGACTACTCTGTCACTTGTGTGTATATACACGTGGGGGGTGTGTACTGTAGGCACGGGCAGAGGTAGGGACACATTACAAAGAAAAATAAGCCATGGTCTCAGCCCCAAAGTAGAGAAAACAAGACTTAGTAGCATGAAGAGCCCCACAGCTCAGCAGAGGCCAGGCACTGTGCAATACGTATCATAGCTCGTGTTGACTACTCAGCGATCTTGTGAGCTAGGGACAGATATTGTCATTATCCCCATTTGGTACCCAAGGCTCAGAGAGGTGAAGTGACTTACTGGAGGTCACACAACTAGTAAGCTATAGAACAGGGCTCCAAGCCAAGATACATCTGACTCCAGCGTCTTTAACCTCTTCTCTCTCCACTCTCCTGTCCCCCTGCTGATCTCAAAGACAGTAGAAGAGTCTGAGGCGTGTAAAAGACTCACCCTATCAGGAGGAGAGCTCTGTGGGGCAGACCCAGTAGCTGTAGGGAGTGAGTGATCTTCCAGGCAACAGAGCAGAGAAGGGAGCAGAACTACAAGGATGGTGGGGCCAGGACATGTCACATACTAGGGATCATCCCCAAGGACTGGGGAAGCCTGGAGGTGGGGGGACACATCCTTTAGATGCTCTCTGGAGACTTTCACCTCCTTTTTTTTTTCTTTTGAGACAGAGTCTCACTTTCTCACCCTCAGTAGAGTGCTGTGGTGTCATAGCTCACAGCAACGTCCAACTCTTAGGCTCCAATGATTCTCTTGCTTTAGCCTCCAAAGTAGCTGGGACTACAGGCACTCTCCACAATGCCTGGCTTTTTTTTTTTTTTTTTCAGAGACTTGGTCTTACTCTTGCTCAGGCTGGTCTCAAACCTGTAAGCTCAGGGCAATCCACCCTCCTTGGCCTCCCAGAGTGCTAGGATTACAGGCATGAGCCACTGTGCCTTGCCTAACTTTCACCTCCTTTTAAGTTCTTGCTGTGCACTCCCATTCATCCCATTTCACCCAGAGGCCAATGTTGCAGTGTAGAAAGTGGGAAGGGGTTTGTACTGGACTTGACTTCCCTAAGGGTGGTCCCATCTCACCATATCCCCACTTTCCACTATCCTTCAGACCTTCTACCAGAGACAGTGGAAAGGAATATAGGCTTCTGTCCAAGAGCCCAGTTTTCAGTCTCTTCCTGTCCCTGTCTGCCTGTCCTGGCACACTGCTCTCCCGATGGCTCCCCCCTGCAGCATACCTCTAGCATGGCCCCCTCACCAGCATGCACTTGATATTTTCAGTAGCTCCTCACCACCCACAGGACTCTGCCCAAATTCCTTGGTATGACTGGCAAGGACTCCATGGCCTTTTCTAATCCACCTCCCACCACAGCCACTGGCATACCCAGCATCCCATCATCATGCTCAGAATATCCCTAAATTTCCCTCTTGTTCAAATCCTCCTGAGCTCCATTCACCTGGAGAAACCTTGGCTTCCCTGCATGGCCCAGCTCAAATACGCCCCTTCCATAAAGCCCTCCTGAAACCTTCACTCCTCCACCTGCCCCCCTGAGAGCTACGTTCAAACACTGCCCACATCAGCAATTCACTTGATCCACTTCTACATGGTGAGGGGACAGCATTAGCTCTGATGGCCACAAGCACAACATGCATGGGCTTCCAGAGTAACAGATCTCATTTTTTTGGATGTCTGGTTTTTCTGCCGCCAGCTATGTAACTCCACCTAAAGAGTACTTCATTTTGAAGTGCCTCAAGTTTCCTCTGCTGTGAGGTGGGGTTATGATGCAGGGCTAAGGTGAGGTTGGAGGCAGCTGGCACATCTAAAGCACTTAGCAGGTAGCCGGGCACATGGGAGGTGTTTAGCCTCTCCTTGGTGGATTCCCATGCACAGAGACCAGGGCTGGGGCTCTTGGGGTTGCTCAGTATATGCCGGGTACACTGAAGGAGCAGAGTGTGTGGTTCAGGAGACCCCTGAAGAAAGCCAAGTTTGTTTAGGAATCAGGGGAAGAGGATGCTGCCTGGGGCAGTGTGAGGCTCTGAGGCACAATCAGGTGAGGTTTTCTGCAGGGGTGCTGCCTTTTTTACTGGAGTTGGAAAACCTTTTCATCAAATATAAGATCCATAGAGAAGCGCATAAATCATAACGTGAACATCCCCATGTAGGTAGCAGCGAGATCAAGAAACAAATCAGTTGGGGCGGCACCTGTGGCTCAAGGGA